CTGACATGAGAACCCAGGGTGGGAGGCGGGTCAAAGGTCACACCAAGATTCCTGACGGAGGGTGTGGTGTGAGAAGCAAGTTGACTAAGATGGTCTCTGACTTTGGGAACCAGCTTGTCTGGGGCACAGATGAGGATCTCAGTCTTATCTTCATTCAGCTGTAGAAAGCTCCCAGCCATCCAGGTTTTGATAGAGTCTAAGCAGGTGTGTAACGGCTGCAGCTTAGACGTCTCATGGGGCTTAAAGGAGATGTACAGTTGGATGTCATCTGCATAAAGATGGTAGGAGATTCCTTTGAAGGAGCTCACGATGTGCTGAAGAGGAAGCAGATAGAGGAGGAAAAGTAGAGGCCCCAGCACAGAACCTTGTGGGACACCATGGGAAAGGGCGGTGGTGGAGGACCTAAACTTGGAGACGGCCACAGAAAAGGAGCACTCAGAAAGAAAAGAGGAGAACCACTCCAGAGCAGTTCCTGATAGGCCTACTCAGTCTCTCAGCCTCTCCAGTAGCAGGTGATGGTCAGCAGTGTCAAAGGCTGCAGTCAGGTCTAGCATGACCAGAATAGAACAGTCCCCTGCATCACTGTGAGTCAGAAGGTCATTAGAGACACTAAGAAGAGCTGTTTCAGTAGAATGAGCTCTATGGAAACCCGACTGGAAGCTATCATAGATGTTATGTTCATCAAGAGCAGCTGTGAGTTGTTTAGACACAATGAATGAATGATGCCTCACAAAGTCGACCTTGATAGAATGCAGCGGTGCATTAAATGTATCAACATTAATGAATAATTCAGTTGTTCAGGCAGACAAGCAAAGCATTCTGCTAGACAAAACTGTGGTACCGCTTAAAATCCCCAGGACATTTTCAGTCATCTGGGCTACAATCAGTCGTGGTATTGTTTACTCAGCACTGGATCCTTTCAAATGGCTTTCCAGGGAAGAGTGTAGCTGTAGGTGAGGGAGCCCTCTTAGGGCAACATTGACTGTTTTACTTGTTATAAACAGTTTTTGATCCGCCTCAATTTGGAGGAATAGGGATTAATTCTAACATGGATTCTTCAGCTAACAGCTAGTTCGAGTAGTCAAAGCCCACAACTTTATTGGCAAAAACATCACAGTGGTTTGTTAGGATGTTTTCTATAAACCTGATATAGCTGTGGTACTTGGAACATAGCTTGAGCATTCATTCACTCGTTTCCTTCCTTTTTATTTGATTTTCCCTTTATCTGTGGGCATATGCTTTTTAGCAGAACATCTCATGAACCAGTGGATGGATTGTAAGGAAACTTGGATTTGAACTCACTCATGATGGCCACCGCAGCCAACTAACTTTAGCAAACACATAAATAGCTAAAAGTAAAGACACTGGGCTCCAACTCTGTGCCAGAGTAGCTAAGCGTCATCTCCAAAATACACACCATGGTCTAATAACTGCTTTGAGATCCTACAACACTGCATGGGGCCAAGAACTGATCCAAATTGCCAACTCAACATAACTTCACTATTTTTCTTTTAAATCTCTGGCATAAAAGACAGTAGAGAATAGGCAGTTTTACAATAAATGCTAGCCCCTAGGTAAGCATGAGGTTCTGAATATTTATCAGCTTCTTACAACAAAGCTGACGGCTCCCACAAACCTCAATCCTGGGAGGGTAATGTCTTCTGGAGGAACAGTCCCTAGTTGTGCCAAAATATTTTGACTCTTTACAGCCTTGAATATATTATTATTATTATTATTACTTATATAACAGTATAACAGTACTAAATAAATAAAACTGGCCCTTGCTACCAGTAGATCCTCCACAGGAGGACGTAATGTACAGGACAGGATATGACTAGGCTTTGATGATGGTACTGAAGGGGTTTGTTGTGACTTTGGAACGATAGTCCACACAGAGTTAAAGTGCTAACGACACAACCCCAGGCGAAACCCCTCTGAGACGTGTTTTCTCTAAATCCTATGTCTTTTCCTTTCATTAGAAACGAACCTGGGAACATAAATGCTCTTAGAGTAAACGAGTCCTTTAGTGTTTTGTTTTCCAGAAAATCAGAGGCACTCACCATCCAGCTGAGTAACACCTTGTGTTTGTTTTCCACAGTGCTTCCAAAATACTCTGACCTCCAATCTACAAACTTACGCAAGCCTCCCACTCACCAAAAACAAACATGTCATGATTCATTCCACATGCATCACAAACACGCTGTCCCTCAAATCACAGAGAAAAGTCAGCAGCATGCTGAAGACGATGCGTGTTTGGCTTCGGGTCTTGTTTCCTGTGAAGAAAGGTCTGTTTGCCCCAAAAACAGCAGATGTGGAAGGCACGGGGACACAGATTACTCAGTTTATGTGTTCTACTGCAAAGCTGGCATACGGTGCACGTAAAACACCATCTTGGATCAGCATTACTTAAACTTTCCACCATATTCCAACTCATGGAAGTATTTAAGGTAAACAGACCTAGTAGAAAAAACTAAAAAACAGTATATTTGAGTCATAGTAGGAACTATTTAAGGGAGATTTGTGTCATTGTGGAGTGTGTTTTTGTGTGACTGTGTTACCTTACTGTTAATGGTATCGCACTGAACAGCCTCTGTTCAGATAAATAGTGTCAAGACAGGCTGCCTTAATTTCATAACTGTTTATATGATATTTCAACTGATAAACTTTTACAATGTCATCAATTTTCATGAACTTCTCTGGTTACTTATAGGCATTAAAATGTAGCTCCGCCCCTGAAGTTATGGGCCTGTCTGGTAGGAATTTATGATTTTTGCTCAATCAGCAAGTAAAGCGTTGAGTAAAGCTTTGTAGAATAATGTATGCATTACTGTGAACGTCCGCATATTGGAGCAGTTTTAAGGAGGACAGCACTAGCTGTTAGCTCATCAGTCCTGTTCTGTTTACATGGATCAGTGTAATGTTAGTGGTTAAAACTTGTTCAACATCTAGTTTGAACACATCCAGCTGTCTGCGATACATCTTCTGGTCATTCAGGGTGTCCACAGTGAATAGGACAATGTACTCAAGTGGCTTTGAGTCCCAAACCAAGGCATGGGCTGAATAATGAACATTTACTGATGAACAGAGGCACCATGTGCCAATAGATTGGTCAGGCAATGATTTGGGGGCACCAGAAGCCCCAAGAGGGCTGTTAAACTTTGAACCATGTCAGAAACCGTCGTTATTTGGCAGCTCTGTTGGCCATCTTGCAGTCCCGATGCAACGCTCACCTTCCCTCCTGTCTGCTTAAACACCAGCTGCTTATCCCAGCGATTTGCTTGGGGCCCAAAAGGGACCCATGCAGCGCCACTGCTTACAAAGTCGTGAAACCAAATATGTATGTCATGTTTAGTTGGCCAAGTGTGTATGAGACTCAAATGATTTCTTTCATTTCCATCCATCCATCCATCCATTTTTGGCCACTTATCTGGGGTCGGGTTGCGGGAGCAGCAGCCTAAGCAGGGAGGCTCAGACTTCCCTCTCTCCAGCCACATGGGCCAACTCCTCTGGGGAATCCCAAGGCGTTCCCTGGCCAGCTGAGAGACAGCGTCCCTCCAGTCCTGTTCACTTAGAAAAACGCATTTCTTTCATCAATTAGAACCAGCTTAAACATGGATTTCTGCTTTTTTAAAACAGCCCCAATCTGTTAAACTTCACAGTGGCTCATGCAACGATCTGTAAGCCTTCATCAGTTTAACACTACACTGTTATTTTGGCAGAAAAATTAAAGATTCCCTAGCTGGCTTGACCCCTAGACCCCTAGAAGCATCATCATTTGGGGAAAAAACTAAAGAAATGAAATGATTCTGTAATAATCTCCTTAAAAAAAAATTTCTCTGAGTTTCCTCATCTCTGATGTGCAGTGGACAGCCCCTGGAACAGCTTTCAGGGTTCACTGCTCCAGCACGTGGTCTACTGGGGTCTTGGATCAAACTCCTCGCCATCCAATCAGCCACGGCCGCTGTTGTTAACGTATTCTAATTAGGCAGCAGTCAGTGTTGGCTTGTCCAAACTGATAATTGCCATTGAGTTTTGCTTTTACTCAGTTTTTTTTAACAGAAGCGTGTTTGAAATGCTCTCTGAACATCGCTCTCACTTGCAACGGACCAGCTTCATTTTTACGCTCGTAAACACGCATAACATTCCATGTAGATTGTTGTGTAACATGCATTTCTTAAAGATTTGCTGTTTTCTAAAATGATGTTACCTAAAGTACTGAGAATCTTTAAAACTTATGGCTGTTTGCAGAAGGCAGCAACACACCCTGGCCTTACCTGGCCATTAGCTGGTGAAGCAGAATAAATAAGGTCGTAATTATTATTTTTAATATTTACTTTCACCCAAAACCTAGATATTGCTTTAACAATATAACAGAATATAACAGTACCACACGTGTAATTTGTTGATGTGGACTCTCGTTTCAGACATAATTGAAAGGGGAGAGCGACAGATTAAAAACGGGCCCGAGCAACAAAGAAAGACAGATGTAACACGCCTGACTCAAGCTGTGATGGTGATTATGAGGAAATGTAATTGAAGATTCATGCTTGGAGCAATTTATTCAGATATGGTTAATTGGAGTTGACTCTTGACCCGTTGTCTTGCGTTTCTTCAGCAGCCACATGTCTTTCATCTCCTGCTGCAGGTATAATACAGAACCAGTGTGTCTTTTGGGATAAACGACTCTGACCAGAGGTCGGTTCGATTCTCTCGGACCGAAGACGTCCTGGTGCTTGGTCAGAAACTGCACAGATGGCATCTAAAATAAGCCCCTTTAAAGATTGTTGTAAAAAGTCGTGTTGCTCACTACAGCCTGTAAATTTAGGGTTTAGTCTCTTTCTTCTTTTTGCCCTTCTGATGTCATCTAAATAATTAATCCCCATCTTAATCCTTAACAGCCTGCTAGCCTTGGCGAGCTCCCCTCAGTGAGACCTTCAGAACAGACTGAGAGGCTAGAGAAGGAATCAGCTCTGGCTAATTTTCTCTCTCTCTCTCTCCAGACTATGCCTGGCCCCTACCCAGCGCCCTGTGCCCGATCTGGATCTACCTGGACGTGCTGTTCTCCACGGCCTCCATCATGCACCTCTGTGCCATCTCCCTGGATCGATACGTGGCCATCCGTAACCCCATCGAGCACAGTCGCTTCAACTCCAGAACCAAAGCCATGATGAAGATCGCCGCTGTCTGGACCATCTCCATAGGTCAGCACTCTCTCAGACGTTTGACACTTAGTGCACATTAGCTACTGAGTTCAAAACCAACAGAGTAGAATTGCATAGAACAAAATAAAGCTCTGGACAGCAGCCTAATCAGGTAGATTACACAGAATGTGGTAGATGCATTTGCTTTTTTGTTTTCTAGAGGAAGAAGATTAATTATCTGGAAGACACTGATGGCCTTTAGTTTTGCCTCAACATGATGGGAACGTATCCCTAAAGAACTGCATCATGCCTTCTGCTCATCAGTGGTGCTGCAGTCAGTGCTTTTATGTCAGAAAACCAAATTGTTGGCTTAGTGTGACTGAAGTAGGACTTTTAAAATGCAAGTACACTCCTCAGTCAAACTCATTGTGAGTCAGAATCAGAAGGGTTTTATTGCCATGTGTGCAAGAATCACAACATTAGGAAATTGCTGCGGTACTTGGTGCAAAGAAAGGAAGATAAAAGTAGGAGATTAGAAAATATATGAGGTCAGAATATAATCATGATATAGTAATAATAATAATATAAAGTGGCAATAATTAGAGAAACGCTACTATATACAAGATAGTGTAGGTACTGATCAGAGCAGATCAGTTCAGGTACAAACACAACACAGGGCCATGTGACTGTAACAAACCAACTGGAGTGTGCAGCTCTAGGATTGCCATTCATGAGTCCAACAGCAGAGGAGAAAAAACTGTTCTTATGGCATAAGGTTCTGGCCCGAATGGATCTGAGCCTCCTGCCTGATGGGAGCGAGTCAAAGAGACCGTGTCCAGGGTGAGATGGGTCAGCTGTTATCCAACCTGCACGCCTCAATGTCCTGGAGGTGTACAGATCCTGTGTAGAGGGGAGTTTGCAGCCAATGACCTCAGCAGAGCGAGCGACATGCTGCAGCTTCTTCATGTCCCTGATGGTAGCTCTAGTGTACCACGCGGTGATTGAGGAGGTGAGGATGGACTTGATGACTGCGGTGTAGGACTGCCTCATCAACTGTACTGATAGGTTGAATTTCTTCAGCTGCCTCAGGAAGTACATCCTCTGCTGGGCCTTTTTTATGATGGAGGTGATGGCGGGCTCCCACTTGAGGTCCTGGGTGATGATGGTGCCCAGGAAGTGACATGAGTCCACCATTGTGATGGGTGGCTGTGTGCGTCCTAAAGTCCACAACAATACAGTTAAAAAAAACCTCTGCATGTAAACAGCTTAGCCAAGCTGGTTTTGGTTGGACACTCACCTTCCAAAAGTGACAAGATCACTGAAGCAGTCTTCTGAAAAGATCATCGCTGCAAACGTGTAACACCGTCAGACAGTACAGTACGTCCCGCATTAGCTGTGCCGCCTTGTTGTTGTTGTTGTCCATTCCTTCGGCCATTGTGCATATCCTGTTTTTACTCTGTCTGCTTCACTCTTGTCAGCGTTTGTTTACTGTTTATGTTGCCAAGCTAACCGGAAAAAAGAAAGAAGAAAAAAGCAGTTGTGTGAACAAGGAAGGAAAGCATCGTGGTGTTACTTGTTTTGTTAGGTGCTCTTTTGAGATGAAAAACTGCTGAAATCACACCTCCTCCATTTCCCTTCTGGCTCAGTAGCTGCCGGGTCAGCCAGAGTGAGCAGCGCTATCAAACAAACCTGCGTGTCTTTTTTTTTCTTCTCAGACAAAATACGGAACCAGCACTGACAGAAACTACATCTGTGTGTTTGTGTGACGGTGCTGTGTCTATGGTTAAATTTGTCCGAAAATATTCAGCAGGAACACGAGCTCTGGAGCACCTACTGCTGAAAACATTGGTACACTTTGGTGACGTTACTAACTAGCAACATATCTGTTTTTCAGGACAAATAAAGACAATCTGCTTCTTTAATCGTGTAATTTATAGTATTTTATGTAGTAATCTCTTACCTTTCTGGCTCAGAGAGACACTTTCTGCTGAATAATTGAGGAAAGGGTCCTTTCTCCAAGGGATCGCATGACTTTTCTAACATTTCTCACAGCTGGTCTACCCTCTTGTTGACCTCGGCATTCTCCTGATGTTGTTTTGTGCCCTTTAAACCCCAGGAGCTTCAACGTCTTGATGCACACACACACACACACACACACACACACACACACACACACACACACACACATACACGGACATTCAGACCACCTGAGTGTACCGTTATGCCCTCTAACCTTGCTACAAAGGCATCTCTATGCAGACTTCATGCATCACTTCAGGACTAACTGTTGCTGCCTGAAGCTACATTTCAGATACAGATTCTGAAAATATCCAAGATTTGTTAAGATTAGTAGCATAAATATCAACTCATGTTGATGACAGGTTGTGATTTGTTGAAGGAAAAGGCCCAGAAAATCCCATCATGTCACACATTTCCTGCCAGCTTAACTTGAAGTCTTCCAAATGTGATGTGTCAGTCTCATTTTCATCTCTGCTTGCTTTAGATGTGCAAATGCTTCCTGTTCATTGACCTTGTTAAATGGATTTCAGTCAGTGTCAGTAATGTTTTTGATATGGCGGCTTGTTGCAGGTCAAAAACTAGCATCACTCTGGATTGCAGGCAACGCTGCATTAATGCAAGTAATCATAAATATTGAGACTCATTTTGAAAACATCCAAACATTTGTGGTAAAGCTGTGGTCCTTAGCATAGTCATCAAGGAGATAACTTTGGAAATGTTAGCATAGCATAGTTTATTTATATAGCACATTTAAAATGCAGCATGGGAGCTGCCCAAAGTGCTGCACAGGCTAAAACAAAACACAACCATTACAAGGAGCTAAAACAAAGGATAAAAATCTCGATCAAAGGCAGGTAAAACATGATGAATACTAAGAACACAATTAAAACAATGATACAATAAAACACTAAAACGAGTCACTGTCTAAAAGCCAAAGTGTAAAAGTGGGTCTTTAAATGAGATTTAAAAACCGCCAGAGACGGAGCCTGCCGAACTCCAATGGGCAAAGAGTTCCAAAGCTTTGGGGCAGCATGCACAAATGCTCGATCCCCCAGCAATTTTAGTCTCATCCGCGGCGTGTACAGCAGCAAAAGGTCAGCCGACCTCAGCGTGCGAGTGGGCAAATATGGAGTGAGAAGGGCAGAGAGGTAGGGAGGTGCCAGGTCATTGAGTGCTTTAAAAACAAAGGTCAGTAACTTAAACTGCACTCTGAAAATGACAGGGAGCCAGTGAAGATGTTCCAGGACAGGGGTAATGTGGCTACGTCGGTGTGTACCCGTCAAGAACCGGGCAGCAGCGTTCTGAACAACCTGCAGCCGATTCAGGGCAGAGTCCGGAACACCAACGAGGAGGGCGTTTGCATAGTCCAGGCGAGAGGTAATGAAGGCATGAATGACTGCCTCCAAATGCCTCCGTTTCAGGATTCGTCTGAGGTGAGTAAGGCGGCAAAGCTGATAAAAACAATCTGATTGGCTATAGCTACTGCCACTGCCCCCTTCTAAGAGTCAACAGAGAGGTAAAACGCTATACTAACCTCTTAGCTCCAATCCACAGTTAGCTTGAAGTTTACAAATGCAGGTTGAATTAGCATTCAAGCTAGCGCTATATTAGCGTATAGTAAACACAGCAACAACATTGATCTGCACTATTATTTATTTTATTTTATTTAAATAATTTTTTGATTACAGTTATGTATAACACGATAATTGCATAGTATTTACCTGTGTGAAATAAACGTGTTCAGCACTGCATTAGTTTTGAGCTCGTGTAGATCCCAAAGTGTCTGTAAATTCCACTCGACTGTTGTAATCGTCTTACTGTGAGTTTTGCAGAAAGGACTTCAAAACTGTTTACATTTTTTTGAGGAGTCTAGGAACTAGTACACTCAGTGCATGTTTTGGTTGCTAAGTTGCAAACTATTCTTCTTTGTTGGTGTGCTAAGCTGACTGGAGTGCATTCTCGTTCATTAACAGCTCCCTCTTGTAAAAATGCAGGTCTGGTTGTCAAGGCTAGCATAAATGATTTGTTTTGCTGTAGAGGCCAGGGGAGGGACTTTAGGGATATATAAAGAAAGATTACACCTACTAAAACTCTTCGAACAGGGTCAGATAGTAACATTTAAACTTTTTTAAGTTACTTTAAAAGATTAAACTCCATACCACAGTTTCGAACCTTATAATGGTCACCATCTATTTACTATTTGGTCTTCGATCAATCAAAAGGTAATCCTGTTCACCGTTAACTCATCTGTTTTATATGAGAGGCAACATGAACAAAAAGAAAAAACAAAGTGAGCGTCTTTATTGTAGACTCAGTGATAAAAGTGTATTGATTTCACGTAGTTGTTACAGGTGAAGAATACGGAGGATCAAGCCTGTGGCTCCTGAATGATAGTAACACTGATAATGATAAGGATCATCATAAGCCATTCATGGTTTGTTTTTATGCTGGTGTGTAGACTCTTGTGTGATGAAGTGTGTTCATATCGACTATTGAATCCCCTGTTTTTCTGTTGGCCTTTCAGCGAACCCCTCAAGAGGTTCAGCACCACAACATTTAGTGATGACTGAGGTCTGAGAGGGCTTATGCTCAGTATGTCAATGCTGAGGGATTAACAATGAAACATCCAATGGAGAGTCCATTAGCTCACCACCGAAGGCTCGTCTTCTCTTTGCCTGTTTTAGACTAGATTTAGTCACATTTCTGTTCCTCCTGTCCCCCTTTAGAGCCATGAGGCCTGAGGTATTGGCCCTCAAATACCAATATAGTCTCAAAAGTTTCCTCTTTTGTTGTGAACTTTAAAATCCTATCACACACCAGAACTACGAGTCAGCACATTTCACAAACGTAGACCTTTGCATTTTTCTGAGGACGTACTGTGAAGGGAGAAGGGAGTTCATTTCCCAGGAATATTTAGACAAGTGTGTCTGTCGTGTTGAGATGAGAAATCTAAAGCTGCAACAATAACAGAAATAGTATAAAATTTGCAAGAAATACAGCATTTGTCTTGGTGACATGGTCAGAAGCAGTGGGTTGCTCTG